TGGGACTTTAGACGATCAATATCGAGATGGTCAACGGGGTAGTGGAACAATGGGGGAGACAGGTATAATTCGGAACGCACTGATGAGGAGGGGGGAGGGGGGAGTGGGAGGAGTGGAAGGGGAGGAGGACAATAAGGAGGAAAGGTTCCATGACTGCCTCACTCAGACAGTGACGCCTCTAGCGCTCGAAGACACGACGTCGGATGCGAGACAAGCTGGATATCGCCCCAAATTTTCACGGAGCGATGAGTGAGGGGTCAACGCAGAGACGCCCACCTGGCTGAATGGAGCACCCGGGGGCTCTGGGGCTGACTGGCTCTCTCTGCGCCGCGCAGGTTCCTGTCTCGTGGAACGCCTTGCAGAACGGGACCCCGAGCTTGGGTGCAGAGGGAGAGGAGGAGGAGGAGGAGGAGGAGGAGGAGGAGGAGGAGGAGGAGGAGGAGGAGGAGGAGGAGGAGGAGGAGGAGGATCGAGGAGGAGGAGGAGGAGGATCGAGGAGGAGGAGGAGGAGGAGGGAGGGATCGAGGAGGAGGAGGAGGAGCAGGAGGAGGAGGAGGAGGAGGAGCGAGGAGGAGGGCGCGCCAGCCTTTCGAAGCTGAGGCCTTCCTGCCTCCCCGCGCCCGCAGAGCGGCCGTCAGGCTCTGTGTCGCCCGAGCTGCCGGGGAAGGAGCGGCACCAGCACCACCGCCACCAGAGCTCAGCGCAGAGCCTGCCAAGTGCATTAGAGGAAACAAGAGCTATGCACATACACCGATTCTGGCCAGGCCCATCCTGCGCCCAGCATCGGTGCATACGCCCTCCTACCTTGGCCAGGAAGGCACATGCACCGATCCTGGCGCAAGGATGGGCCTTGCCAGGATCGGTGCATGTGCACAGTTCTCTTCGCCCGAGTGGATCACAACCCATATGCACCCTCCCCCCTCCATCTCCCTCGAGCAGACCACGTGGTTCCACTTGTTCTCCTCAGAGCCTCGACCCCCAGACGTCTCGGCCCCCTCCCCTGGACTGGCTCCTCGCATCCCGTGTGTAATCCTTTGACGTGCCCAGCGCCCTGCGAGGACCCCCAGGGACCGAGCATGGCAAACACCGTCCGACGTCGTTGCTTCGCGAATGAGTCTGGGCTCCCTCGCGCCCACACTCCCCTGCACTCAGAGTGCTAGCAGAAACGTCGAATGCGTCTGTTCGGTTCGGGGGATCATACTTGCTATCATGCCTGCGTTTTGCTACGCTGACCACATCCAAGGACGGCCCGTGGCGCGCCTGCCCGCTCCGTTTCCGCTCCCACTGCGCTTGAAGCACGCCTGCAAATAATCATCACGGTGCCGCCCGCCTGGCGCCCGCTTGCCGGCGCGCAGTTCTCCCCACACGCTCTGCAGAGTCTGGCCACGAGCGAACCGTGGAAAGCGGGGTGGCAAGTCATCCCCAGCACACTGAAATACAACCAAACACATGCACCCTCCTCCTCGGAGGCGGCCGGGAGCTCTGAACTGGATGGGCCCCGAAGATGCCAGAAGAGCGGACAGGGGCCAAATCCTTCCGAAATCGGTCCCCGGACCCCTCCTGGGGTCCATCCGGTGCAACATTTCACCCCGGATCCGCTCTTGACGCTCCCGGCGCCTGAACATGGCTCCAGCAGGCCGAACGGGACAAAAACCCACTTCGAGCCCCAAACCCTCGGATCTCGCCCTCCCTTCCTGCTCGCCGGAAGCAGTGCTGGGCCACCTATCAGACCCTGGGCCGACTCCTCCTCCTCCTCCTCCTCCTCCTCCTCCTCCTCCTCCTCCTGCTC